ATATTTTTTCATTGAGCTTGTGAATCTAGACTTTGAGGATTGGCTCGATAAAGCAAGATTATACATGCTATTAAAGGCTTGAGGCAGTGTGGAAACTAGCATGGATCGAGTGAATTCACTGAGCCTGGGGGACGAGAAAAAGACTCTGACAGGACCTGCATGAAGTTATTGAGGAATACAAGGGCCAAATTGGATCAACACTTTCAGCACAATCGGGAGAAGGCGGTTAGAGGGAACGAGCGGGGAGTGGGAATAGGCCTCCCGGAATCCATTCAAAAGGGCATACCTGTATTAGGTTAAATTAAGTAATTTATATATTGTGATATTGAAAGCGACGACACCAGGATATGGGGTAGTTAAATGTTAAATTGCAACTGTTCAGCATATAATTGTTACGAAGATGAAATTTATTTGTCCCTGACGGGTTTTAGTGGTGCTCTATGACTGGCAAGGCTCATAAAGATGCCAGTGAAATGTCTTGTAATGTAGCTTGTCAACGGTCCAACGCTGGAAATTACAATGGATAATATGGCAGACGACTTTGGACAGGCCACATACACGCAGGTCTCTCTGAGAATACGACCACGCTGCGAAAACAAAGGCTGTACTGGCTTGGCCTTCCCACCTTTGATTAACTATATGTTTGTTGATATGAGATGTTCAACCGGAAGTATAAGAAGTCTTCTTCGACTTGTAGATTTTCGGAGCTAAGACTAACAGAATACGAACCACCACCACCTCTTAAATTGGTATGTAGAATAGGTTTATGGCAGGTTTACATGGGTTCAGTCGAAGTGCTGCCGGGGTCCCGTCGAGTTGAAATTTGCAATATATTATTTGTTGGACTATTTGAAACTTTGCTAAAAATAGTTTATATATATATATCCTAACATAAATTTACGCCTTTATTCATGAGAAAAAGCCATTTAATTTTTTTTTCTTAATTTATCTAAATTGAATAAGACAATCCACAGCTTCTCTCACCGATATATCTATACTTTAGGATGGTTGCACTACCTGAAAAATATATGAATATATTGGTATTTAAATGTAAAAACACGGAACCTGCAATTATTTTGGGCATTTAAATACGCATATATATGTGCATCTATGCATATTTATATGTATGCATATAAGAATAAACCCCAGAATATAATATGAATCTTGACAAGCAACAATAGGAAGTGAAATACGATTTGGATAAACACGAAAAAAATGTTTAAACTTTTATGCATCATTTATTCTTATGTTTATTATGGCTAAGGCACACTGCTTTATTGTACATATGTATATATAAATATATATATATTTAAGCATTCTTTAACAAAAGCACACAAAAGCTAATTCGGATGACAAAGGGAATGCATACCCTCTGTGGAGCTAGCGAATCAGAGTCAATGATCAGGTTACGCGTCCCACGCATCGACAACCGGAAAACCAAATCTGCCGAAAGGAGGAATCGCCAGGACTTGTCAGTATATCAGCCTCGCCCTGGCTACTCGTCTTCTGGCATCGAGATCACAAAAGAGGAAGAAACCTTTCTTCCTGTCGGTTACGATAGTGGCCCTGACAGTAACGATATTACTCGTCAGGAGAATGATCGGGGTGACAACATTTTGAATATAATGTGCAGACCAGCAACTGCAAATACATCTTCTACCATCCAGGTCGAACGGCAAAAACGTGCTGGCTTGTTATTTGAGAGCCCGCTAATGGGTCATCCAAAACCAGGAGAAAACACCAGTCATGCGGGCTCGGAAGATGAGTCGCCGAGCCAGATTATGACTACTCTTCCATTCGCCGGCATCGATACTGGAAAGTTTGGTCCAATTCTTTCAAGACAGAATTCATATCTGCTAAACAAAGGTGGCAACACAAATGGTGTTGGTTTGCGAGTCTCGCATATGGATGGCTGGAAGCCAAGCAGAGGTCCTCATAAAGGGCGAGCATCGCTTGGCGCACCATTACTAGTAAGGAATCTCATCTAATAACTATTGGGCTACTGAGAATTCCGGGCTCGATAAAGTTTCATGTAGTCCTCAATAAGCACCAATATCAATTAATGAATTAGATTACTGATTGATCTAAGAATCCTTACAAACATATCCTTATATTTCTTAAATAGCTATGGAAGAGCGGAGAATAACTTATTCCCTAAAACTATTATCATTGAAAATGCACAAGCAAGCATTCCTTTACTAAAGAGGGTTCGTTAGGTGTTAATCATCAAATTATTCCAGAGCGCCCTTGGAGTAGTGACATTGTTTTCAAGTTTATTGATAAAACTTGAAAGTAACTAAATAAAATTCATACATTCAAAAGATCCTCTTAGTTTCGCCAATTTTAACTAAAATAAATCAACTTTCTAAAAAAATCCACAATATTGTTTCACCTTGATTTTACAATTTGTCCATATTGGCAGGACGACCTAGAAGAACGCACCTTATCCGGAGTCTATAATACGCATGACAGTCGGACCGATGACTTGATAAATTTCAAGACGTTTTACCGGCATCTTTGGTGAGC